ACACCGGAATGGGGGGACACCGGAATGGGGGGACACCGGAATGGGGGGACACCGGAATGGGAGGACACCGGAATGGGGGGGCACACACGTGTATGCACACACACACACGTTCGTGGGTACAATCGCGTGATGCAGGAATCGGGAGCAAAATCGTTTTCGGCTGTATCGGATGGTAACGTCAGCGTTAGTTTACAAAGCCCAGACTAATGCTGTCTTGAGAAAAAGTGCCGAGTAGTTGTTTTCTTATTGGCTGGTTCCTCGTCGCTGTCGGCGGGGACATCGACGACAATGGATGCAAAAGGGTTGTTCCAGTCACCACCCGAGGGCGGAGTGAGATCGAGTTGGACGGTTGGTTCTGCTTCTTTGGTGTAGAGAGTGGCGGCGCTTACGTAGAGTATTTGTGCCCAATCGATATTGCCGGTGCTAAAGTCGATTGATCTGTTAGTATCAGGACGAAGGGTCATAGTATCAGGACGAAGGGTCATAGTATCAAGGGTCATGTTGCTGGTGTTAAGAGTCATCGGTTGGAAGTCTTCAGCTTGTTTGACCAGCATTCTTCCTATCCTGAATTCATCACAATTCCCCGAATTTCGGAGTGACTTCAGGAAACGGACGATGCCCTCGAATCTGAGTCTAAGTAGAAAGGATTGCAAGACGGAGAGGAGAGACATGGTGATGGAGACGACGGAATGAACGTTAGAAGCGAGTATGTAATCCCAGAGAACGACAGTGGCACCAGCTGGGAGAGAAGTGACGAAAAGGGTAAGGAACCATTGATGGATGTAGACAGGGGCGAGAACATTTTCCTTCTCAAAGTGGCTGATTAGCGAGGGACAGTAGATCCGGCAACGTCTCTGGCACTCATCTACGAATGGGTCCAGCAGTGGAAAACTCTCGCGGTAAAACCCGTGCAAGTGATAACGAGCCATCAGTAGGCATAACATGTAAAATACCTCGTACTCCTCATACGTCTCCAAAACAGATCGAGGTGGAGACTCCGCCGCTGCCAACGCCGTCCCGCTGTCGGCAGCCGTGACCGAACTCTCCGGACTTGCACACTGACGAGGAGACGCACTCGCGCGACTCTCCGCTGCTATTAACAAGAGAAAACCGCACACGAAATTCATACCCTGACAGTATCCAATGTGCGGCGCGAAATTCGCGTACGCATTCTACATAAAACATGTGGGATCTTTTAGGGTGACGGGGGTCTTTTAGGGTGACGGGGGTCTCCCAGGGTGACGGGGGTCTCCCAGGGTGACGGGGGTCTCCCAGGGTGACGGGGGTCTCCCAGGGTGACGGGGG